AATGTTATGTAATGCTTCAATAATAATTTAAGTTGTAATGTAGCGTCCAAAAAAAGTGATTCCACTTAACTTGCGTTGTCTCACTTTAATTTTGTCTTTGCTACGGGTTTCGCAATTGCTTTTGGAACTCTTGTATGTTTACAAATGAGTATTATATGTATTTATATGATTTACTTACAGACGAACCCTGGTCAGTGCGGTTCTCAGTGAAATTCTACCCTCCGGAGCCGGCACAGCTGCAGGAAGAACTCACGCGGTATCAACTAGTGTTGGCTGTCAGAAAAGACTTACTTGAAGGTAAGCAAAACAATGAAAACGCCTCTACAGTACTTGACGATGGAGTTATGGGCACTTTGATTCCAAGAAATGTCTTGATGATGGAAAGTAGTCAAATAACACCTTGGACGGCATAGAAGGGAATGTCAGACACTTACTAACTAAAAACTACCCTGTTTCAGCGCTAGGGCTAACTTTACTAGGGCTATATAACTTTTGATTTATCAGTGTAACCCACCATGGAAGTCACTACTGTGATTACTATAATAATAATTTAATTATACGCCTGTATGTGTAGGTCGGCTCCCATGTTCATCAGTAACGCATGCGTTATTGGCGAGCTACCTCCTGCAGTCGGAGCTGGGTGACTACGAGGCGTCGGAGTCGGGCGCCGCGCTGTGCAAACAGCTGAAGCTCGTCCCCGCCGCCGCCGCCACGCCAGACCTTGAGGAAAAGGTTATCGAACTGCATAAGACGCATAGGTATGACTTTTTAAACCTGTACCTGTACTGTCCTTTAAAATGTTGACCCATTGTTCTCCTCCCCCATTCCCCATCTCCAAATTGCCAAAAGACCGTGGGATTGCCATCGTCTGTCAGTTATCCGTCTGCACCTTCGCAGACCCTTTCCATACAACAAAATAGATATGAATAAAAAAGCCAGTCAGTAGTCAAGGCGAATATGGCAATGTAAGGACCGCAATTGAATTGTTAACCATTTACACACGAATTGTACGCGTAGCCGTTATGAAAGCGTATCAATACGACTCTCGTCGACCTCTTACGCTTCCAATACGACGACGTGTGCGATGGAGTTCAAAAGTTTTTCTAATAAGTCCATTTGTTACAGAGGTCAGACGCCAGCGGAAGCGGAGCTAAATTACTTGGAGAATGCGAAGAAGCTGGCGATGTACGGCGTGGACCTGCACCCCGCCAAGGACTCCGAGAATGTTGACATCACGCTCGGAGTCTGCTCCTCCGGCCTGCTCGTACATCGGGAGAAGTGAGTATATTGAATAAATTGTAACATGTGTTAAGAGTTTATACTGCAGTCGTAACTTAAGTGTAACGGAGTTATACTTATAAATGACTGGTTTCTCAGGACGTGTATTCTAGTTTAAATTAAAAAGGTTCATCCAAGCAAGAAACTTCAGTCTCTGTTCCTAGTTTATTTCGTCTGTCTGCCTGTCTTTCAAATCACGATTGAAAGTACCGAATGGATTTCAGTGCAGTTTTAATAAAATTTTACAAACATAGTAATCTGTTACAAAAGTTTCAGGTTTTAGGAATTGATAAAACATATATTGTAAACAAATATGTTCACAGACTACGCATCAACCGGTTCGCGTGGCCAAAGATCTTGAAGATCAGCTACAAACGTCACAACTTCTACGTGAAGCTGCGGCCGGGCGAGTTCGAGCAGTTCGAGTCCACGGTCGGGTTCAAGCTCGCCAACCATCGTGCCGCCAAGAAACTCTGGAAGACCTGTGTCGAACATCATACGTTCTTTAGGTAAGTAACTGTAGCTTGTCCAGGTCAAGAGTTTTTTTATAAGAGGTGATTATAAAAGAGGAGTTCTATGTATAGCGGACGGGTTGTAGATTGGAGTTTAAAAAGATCAGGTTTATCAGAGAGTGTTCTCGTTTCTGTTCAGTCCCTTAGTTGGTTCTTCCGAAGTTCCGATACTCACGGGGAGAGTAGGGGTGGTAACAAAATGCTTCATAAAACGACGTTGTATATTTCGTTGTATAGTCAGCCATCCTAAGAGGATGGCTTAAAACATACAAGATGGTTAAACAGCACAAATGTAATTTGATATTTTTAAGCTAGTTAGAATAATGATTGTGATGCAGACCAGTGTTCCTTTTCTGTAATATGTGTACCCCTGTCCCGCAGACTGATGTCCCCGGAGCCGGCCCCGAAGAGCTCGTTGTTCCCGCGGCTGGGGTCCCGGTTCCGGTACAGCGGGCGCACGCAGTACGAGTCGCGCAACAACGCGCCGCAGCGCGCGCCGCCACACTTCGCGCGCACGCTCTCCAACAGGAAGCTGTCCTCGCGCAGCATGGACGGTGCGTACACTCGCTTATACCTCTTTCACAGGGACGAGAATCGATTCATACTTTCTACCTCGCACAGCTAAAATGATCTGTCGTCGGCGTAATTTCCGAACCGATACGACCTTCAAACCTTGAAGAAAAGAGCGTATTCCTTTTTAAAAGGCCGGCAACACCGTCGTGACTCCACTGGTGTTGCGGGTGTCCATAATTTGCGATAATCACTTACCATCAGGTGACCCGTCTGCTCATTAGCCTTCTATTCCATAAAAAACATCAACGACGGATTACCTGATGAAAAGCAATAAACCACACTATAGACATTTTATTGTACGGATAGAAAATCATCAAATATCTTTTCCCGCCCTGGTAGAGATGTGAATTGGTGCTCTTATTCTTGCTCCAAGCCGTGGCCTCTACTTCTTTGCAATCTATCTGCAACCCTGACAGTGAAATCGAAGGAGTTACAAGTGCAATCGTTTGAAAAAGGAGTACGCTTTTACTACGACAACTCCCACGCTAATGTCGAGAAAATAGCCTAATTACTTCACCTAAGATTAATTAGTCATCTATAAAACCGAGCCAATATCTTCATAATCTTCTCCAATCCCTCGAACTAATGATGTCATCAATTCAAAGAAAAATAATTGTAATATGTTGACAAAGGAAACATTGCCAACATGACTGAGTACTGAGATTTGATAATGACTATATTTAAATGTTACTTCATTGCACTGAAACTGAAGTGAAATCTCTCTTGTGTTATATGTAAGCTCCTGAAAACTGTAATGATGCGTTTTATGACTTGCATTGACGTCACATTTAATTTTGTTAGACACCACCGCGAACATCTCGGCTTTACTATAAAATTCGAACTAAAGAAACTACTAACACTAAAGAATAATAACATACAATTTCTCGTCGAGTCTGTTTGCGATGAACTTAAAAACTGCTGAACCAATTTTGAAGTAAATTTTACCAGAAAAAGTTCATGTGAGAATTTGTAATATCATAGGTGAAACTCTAGGTGTAAATAAAGCTAGTTATACTATAAAACATATTACGAGTCATGGCCAAAACAATTATATGAACTAAACAAGCGTCAATGTACTTGTAGCGGGGTGAAATGGTGATAAATTTTGATGTGACCTTGTGTGACGTCTCGCCGTGGCATAGTTGACTCATAAACTGTCATTCTGCCAAACTGATGCAGCGGATGACATTATGTAGTAGGTGATCATTGATGACTAACTTGAAGCTATGTCGTGGTGGCCCGGAGAATTAACACGCCCGCTACTCATGAAGGTGCCGGTTCGAAACCTACCAACGACTAGTACCAATGTGACTTTTTCCGAGTTATTACATGTACCTCTGTTGGCACATTCGGATATGTTATATTCTTGAAGTAATTGTTGAAAGTGTGATGTAATAGTTTGCTAAAGTAGTGTGGCAAAGGCATGGTGTGAAAAAATAACAACCTAAATAAGCTTTATGTTGTCATAAGCCATTGGGCAGTTATTTAACAACGAATAGTGGAGAAGCGACTTAGACAGGGGACTTTAAGTCCCATAAGCGCCATCTATGAATACTAAAATCATTATTTTCTTGTGAAGTTTTTGTGGAGAAGTTGTGATTCATGACAGATATATAACAACATAATACACAACATATCCTAATTTCACAATACCATAAAATTAAATTACCCATTCGTACCAAACTGATTCTATACTATTTTTACTACATCCAGCTTTATCGAAGGAAACAGTGACTCAGTATATTGCTTGAAAATCAATAGAAATAGGCCACTGCTGAGTGCTGGTTCTTCAACGTATCTATTTATATACTTGATATTATAGACAGCTATATTGTATTACTAAACATTGTTATAGCATATTTTGAATGTTAAAATACAATAACAATCTATCAACAGCTTCACTAAATCACTTTTACAATATATTTTCAATATCAGAGATTTGAAAAATATATCGTAAGTCTGATTTATTGGGATATGATTTAGATAGGATACACTTAGGTATTTTTATGTTATTTACCTTGCTTCTGTAACTCTCACACGACGAAATACAACGCATGCATTTCGTCACGCGTTTTCTGTTAATGCCCTGCCGAACCACTGCTCTCTATAGTATTTAACACAGCCATACTCAACCTTTGTTTTTACTAGGGCCAAAAAATGTTTCAGTCATGGTATCCCGGGCCGCTAGTGAGAAATTATTAGGTTATAAATAAGACGTAAATTAAAGTTAACAATATAAATGCTTTATAATAATTATTATAGTCTTTGTCTATGTCCCGGTATATGGCAATAGGGTCACCCCCAATTACATGGGATCATAACATAACACACACACACACAAATAACACAAAAATTCTTAAATCATACATAAATAGTGAAAAGTGGGTGTTACATTGTAGATTGGCATTTAGTGCCGTAATGTGCACATCTGGCTAACTCTTTGGGGATAAAAGGCGTGGTGTTATGAGTGTCTTTTAGTCTTTTAGCTCCGAACCCCCGAATTACTCGCTTTCTTATAAGCGCGAAATTTGAAATAGAACAGAGCGTAGGAACCTCAAGCGAGCCGATCAAAAAGGCCCGCCGCGCCGGTCGATTAGAGTTGGTTCAACAACAAAAATAATGAACAAAAATGGAGGTTTAATAAAATTGGAAAAAAAATCATCTACATAATTTAAAATGTATTTTTATGGTTTCTATACTAACTTGTACTAAGAAAAATAATTAATTTTACAATCTAAACCTAGTAATTTCCCAGTAGGTAACAGATGTACACATTTCCAAACTGTTTAGTTATGATGAATAACTGCTTGAGTGATGCGTGTTGGGATCGAGCCAAACATATCAGTTATTCAGTACTAAAGAGCACGAAGCATTAAATATGGAGACATGAAGACTTCATCATCTTTTCTTACCCTACCTAAAAGGTAGCTTATTTTAGTGAAAAGTGGGTGTTACATTGTACAGTGGTATTAAGTGCTGTAGTGTGCACCTCTGCCTACCCCTTCCAGGATAAAAGGTTTGATGTTATGTATGTATTTTAAAGAAAATAAATAGACTTCTTTCTATGCTAAAATATTTTATAGAAACAAAAACTTATGTTGCCGATTCGTCTGTTTGTAATAATCTCGAGATTATAACGAATCGGCAACACTCGGCAACAATCGGCACACTGCCGAACAGACAAATTTTGAAGAGAGTTATGTTCATGATCGTGATATTTTGATCTCTATAACTGATACTCTGAACAGATAAATTAGTAAATTACATATGAAAGTATTTATTTTATTACAATTCTTAATTCTCAGTAATCACACAGCCAGTCTTCTACTGAAATTTGCTTTGTTAGATATTTATAGATATGAATCTACATATCTATAAATATCTTTTTAACTTATCTCAGAACTTAGTTAACTTAGTAAGCACTTAGTACACGACCGGCATTGAATTCTATATTTCTGTTTATCATTTGAAAAATTGAAAACCATATAAAATATACTAGCATTTGGCTAAAACAATTTTTGCATGGCACTCTTCCACATAACACTGACCGACTAGCCACTGCAGATCATAGTAGGAACTATGAAGTAGTAGTTATTAATACAGAGGCGCGGTCAGACGCGGCGTATAAACAAACCGAGTACACTCGCGGCCACTCGTTCGGGTACATCGAAACATGGTGTTCGGGGATTGCTGGAGTAATAGTTGCACATCTGGTGGGTTCCTGTTGTGATTTGGTGATTTAGTGTGCAGTGAGATTTTAGTGTTGTTTTTGTTTTCGGAGGGAATTTTTGAGTATGGTTTTGTGGAAGATAGTGTTGTGAGGTTCTATTGAAGGTTTATATTCAGGTTTTAAGTGTAAACTTAATCAATTTTTTTTCTTCTCAAATAACTTTTTTTGAGCTGTATTTTACCATTTACAAATCTAAAATAATGAATAAAAATGACTGCGTATTAAACAAAAAATGCAGCAACCCTGTAAAACTACTTAATTACAATTATTTCAAAATTAATTTATTGTAGAGCTTACTCTAATTCCTTCTATATAAAAAAGATAATATCATTGTTTCTCGCCACTGTTAGAAATAAGTCTGTCATATAGCGTCCATAGCTGGACGTAGGCTTCTCTCATACCATTTCACGGAACTCTTACTGTCCAAACACTATGTGTGTTTAATAAAATATACCAACCTCCCTTGAACTACAAACTTTCAGTTGTTTCAATTAGCTAACACAACGTAATATGTGTGGTATTCATGATTGTTATTACCGGACCAGTTGCCACGGGTAATGTGTAAACATGGACGATTTATTGCGCACCTACTCCTACCAGTACAACGTTTTCTAGTTAAAGTATTAGCACTACATATTTATAAAGTCGGGTAAACACTCTGGTTGTTTATTAATCAGCGCCTTGTTGTCTAGTTGAATTGGTAACTTCTGCGAAAATTTGTGTAGTGCTGCAAAATATTATAAGGGTTTTTTCTTTAAAGCTTTGGCAGAAGTCTGTCAGTTGTGTAAGATATACTCTTAAATTTTAAAATGGTCTTATAAATACGTGTTATAATTATTTTCACAGTTATCTGTAATAACGCAGTAATTAAATTTTATTCAATAACCATAAAACAGATACTTTCATCTTAAATGTGAACTCCCATAAACCAGACTTTATTGCAACTGAATTTGTCCGTTTGTAATTGCATCCGGCGTATTGCAATTTGCAATGAACTTACCGATAAACATGAGACTAATAAATAAAAGTCGAAATTAAAACATATTCATCTCAAATAGAGTAGGAAGGCACTTTTGAACGTTAAACAAATTGTTAGTCTATCGGTCAGTCCACTTGTGAAGCTAGTGAAGCTATTTGCTCGCAAAGTTTAGATTCCTATGGAGAAGAACGAGCAAGAAACTCCATGGGTTACTTCTTTTCAAAATACAGTTCTCAGTTACATTGTCGGATATGTAAGATGAATTGAAGATCAAGTTCAATAGGCACGCAATATTGAACTGTTACTACTGTTTAAACAGCAAACAAAACAAATCCTGGTGAAGATGAACTAAATCACCAGTAACAATTTTACCATGTCCAATAAAACACTTTTTTTTAAAGGGGGAAAATCATCGAATGACTGCTCCCGCCTGGGTGAGGCGGGAGGGAGTGTCAGACTCTTACTCACTAAAAACCACTCCGTTCCTACTCCTGCACTTCGAGCCGGAGCCCTGGTAACCCGCCCGGAGTGTCCTTCGCGACAGCTGGGTTGTGAGGAGGCAGCGCTTCGCGGCCTTATGCGCCCCGCCTCCTCCTTAGCGGCATCCCAGTCTCCTTCGCTCCGGATCATTGCCCGCACTAGGGCCGGACGCGAGAGGTGTCCATTAAAACCCTAAAGATCTATGACAAATTCCCTAAAGATCTAACTACATATCATCATCGTCCTATTTCCGTCCACAGCTGGTCATAGGCCTCTCAAATTAAATACAGTAGCCCATTATAAATAGGTTTATAGTCCGGTAACCTAAATAGGTAGTTTTATAGCCAGTCCTGCTATGTAAACAATAGACTATCTAAGAGTCTAGGCATTCTAGTACTTAGATGATAACGTCATGGTCTGTATTTAGGTATGACGTTTCATTGCGTCGAAAAATGTTAATAGTGTAGTTGATAATGAGGTACAGCGTCATCATTTTATACGATGAAGGTTTTTTGGTATTTTAACTATTCTTTTTGAAGTTGTATTTGTGTAGCGTTTGCGGTTTAGTATATGTTTGTTATAACACACACAACATCACGCCTTTTATCCCCGAAGGGGTAGGCAGGGGTGCACATTACAGCACTTAATGCCACTGAACAATGTAACACCCACTTTTCACTATTTATGTTCTGAGTCCCATGTAAGGGTGAGCGTATTGCCATATACACACATTTGCAGACTCCGTGCTACTACTGAGAAATTTTGTTAGATCAGATTTAAATCATGTTGATGTTGATGAATTTCAATTGGTAATTAGCAAAGCTTGGGTTTAGCATTTGGACAGTCTCTGAGATACAGGGTAGGATAGAAGATACAGGGAGATACAAATTAGATCTAGGTGATCTTTCCAATATATATTCTTTATTTACATGGTTAGCTAGGAAGAAGTGAGCTATTGATTCTAATAAATTTTTATCAAGCATTATTCGCTATAGTTCACTAATACTTATTGGAAGACTTTAAAATATTTATAGAGGTTATAACTGTACGTACAAACACAATTAATTCCCAGAACGTTCCCATCAATCATTGTATATATTTCATTCAGCTGATTGGTTATGATAAACATTGCGAACTAAACATTGCATCCTGAGGAAGTGTACCGATAAACAATAAAGATGCAGGAACTATAACTTATATAATTGTGTGTTGCAAGAAATGTGGAGCTCCTAGAATTACAGTTCGTGTAACTAGACGAGATTCAATTGAAGTGGTTGAAAGCTTTCTTGATGACCATACTCAATAACTTTGTTTCACTAGTGGGTCTAATTTAGGTTATCAAAAGAGGTTAGGGAAAACAAGTAAAAGATGTGTGTTTTACTGCAATACCTCCTTTTTATGGGTGAAAAGTCATCAAATGACTAGTCCTGCCCTGGTATCGTGGCTTAAGTATAAGTATCGCATATTGTTAGTCAGTAAGAGTCTGACACTCCCCCTCACCCCCGCCCAGGGTGAGGAAATCCTAATGCTTAGTAGGGCTAAATTTAAATAAACCACCAATATTAACTTTTTACATTATTTGCACAGCGTTGGCAGCCGGGGAGAAGGATGAATCAATGCCACCGGACGCGGCCAAGCGCCACACCATGCCGCCGCAACCAGCGCCGCGACCCACCATCAAAGACAAGGTAACATACCAACACTCTGATACCTAACACACACATAGATGTAAACACATTTGTATACTATACAGCATGTTTGTAAAAACTTAGGGTTGGCAAACTAACCGGTTACCTTAGTTGAGAAGGTTTTGTCAAAAATGTGGAATGTTATGAACTAAGAAACTTACATAGTTTTTTGATGACTTTAAATAAAATATTTTTTGTTTTGGTAGCTATTTTCAAGTTGTCTTCATCTTATTGACTGGTTATTGATTATTTTGTAGTCAACAACTCGCAATATAAGTAAATATAATTAGGGTTGATTAGAAAGTGAAGTATCGAGAATCAAAAATTTATATATAAAACCCAGATGTTTGGCAACCCTAGAGATGCATTCAGTCGAAGGTTTAGTCTTCAAGAGAGTACCATTTATACCTTTTTAATTAAAAGTATATCCATCCATAAACTCATACTAAACTGAGTGCATCTCAAAAATATAAAGCTATGTTAACATTTAATTGTTAAAGTAGCTTAACACATAACTAGTATTTAACAAAATATTGTGATTAACAGTCTGATAGCGCATACAAGACGGTTGCAAAATACAACGAATAGTACGATGATCTCAGTTTTCTTAACATGAATATATTATGTGTACCTACTCTAAGGCCGGTATTTATAGAACGACGCTTAAGTCGAGATCTCTTCTAAAGTATTGTTATAATTTTCGTTAAACTACGTTAAAAAAATACTGACTTAAACCTCCTTCTTTGAAATTCTGCCCCTAGGTATAGCAAATATTTTTCTGAAAATTGCTCAAAATCGGTCCAGATAATCGCGGACAAACATACATACATACAGGTCAAACTGAGAGCCTCCGTCTTTTTAAAGTCGGTTAAAAAGGGATGCAAATACTCTCAACAGATACGTGCATCCCTTTCTAACTATACTTGAACACAGAACTCCGCTTGAGTATCGTTCTGTTGTACCGGCCTTTGAAATATGTGGGCTTAGGTCACCACTTCAGAAACTAGTATGTAAAATAGCAACTTAAATCTAGATTTACAGGTTGTAATGTGGTCTAAAATCTAAATTGGAGCGTTTAATTTACGTGCAATATCAATAAACACCTTTATGATTACGCTATGTACAAAATAACACGATGACTAACGTACATAGACATTTAAATAGTGCTAATAAAACCACAGGTGACTACACAGAATAAACTTCAATATTAGTCATGGCTACTAAGATGAGACGTAGATTATATTTATTTTAAAATAACCTCTAATTGACTTACGATGTTAGGAAGTAACATTCGTCTAGTTTTTACATGTTTACGTACGTACGTATGTGCTATCAGACAAACTACATAATTATACACGTTGCAGCCAACTAGCTTAATAAGGCGATTTACTAACGGCCAGTTAGCCGGTTGATTGAATGGCTGAATTTCTCATTCATGCCGTTTGTTAACGGGTGAAGGGATTATCACTAAAAGTGTTACCAGAATTGTACTGTGATATCATTTATTAAAAAGGCTAGCGCCGTTAATTAAGTGTCTTAGTGAGCTAGCTGGTTGCGACATATATATAAAACTTGTATTTAGACTAACCCTACATATAGAAGGCATGGTGATATCATACCATAATAGATAATATACGAAAATAGCACGACCTGGCGTCATTTACATCTCGTAAATTAAGCTGTATAGTCTGTAACAGGGATGGCGAGCCTTTGACACGCAACGCTATATTTAGGAAACGTTACTGATCACCATAATGGCCAGCAATGCATTTGTGATGTCTCTGACATTCCAGATGTACTGTGACCAGCAGATTCGGTCTACTCTACTCGGTTTTTTTAATGGTCTTCTTCGTCTTAACGTAAAGACTATAAAGTTGAAAATGGAATGAAGGAGTTTGAGAGAAAGAAGTTTGTTGACCTGGTGGTCAATGTACTTTCGTCACTGTAATCACTTCCCATTGTGTTAATCGTAAAAAATAATTGAGAAAAAGGTAAAGTCGTAAAGGTTCGCCATCCCTGGTCTATAAGAATCATTTGACACAGTTTTCGTACTCTCATTATACCGAATATTACGGTCAGTCGGTTTATTAGTGAATTACGCCCGGTCAACGTACGACTACTAACAATGTTTATTATAATACATTCGATTCGATTGATATTAATACCATACCTAGATGTTTTCTTCGTTTCATCTCTCTACTAATCTCATGTTTCATTATAACTAATGTTGCCAGATTTGTAGCTTGAAATTAGGTCATTTTTGTTAAGTTCATGGTAGAAGATAATTAAAATGCGTGTCATAGAGGTAAAAGAAATAAAAATATAACTTTTTGAGACCCTAGCACCTAGTGTTTTGTAGCTATTCTTTATTTGATTTCTGATGTCATTATTGACTGATCTAAATAGTCTAGTTTAGTGCTTACTTAATAAATCTATACAAATAAAAATAAACATTTTCTCAATGTGTGTAGCTAAGTACATAACTCAAAAATGGCTGCACCAAATTAGATAATTATTTATTTGTTGTGCTTGTTATTTTCGTTAGGGCGTCGTATCTATGAAGCCAGGGCGGGCCAAAAGTAATAAATAAATAAAATTACTGAAATTCGCGAACTATATCATAGTTACGTAAAGCAGTAGGCACACATCTGGCAACATGTGCACGTACTAACGGGTGAGTGTCGCACGCGGCCGGACAGCTGCGGCGGCGCTCGGGCGGCACGGCCAGCGCCTCCTCCGCGTCCTCGCTCGAGGGGGAGTACCTCGCCGACAAACACGACAAGGTGCTACACATACACCCACTCCCACCATCTTCTACCATCTCCCACCACTTCCTACAACATTCATAGCCCCACCTTGACACCCTTCCCACTCGGAGCTCGTTCGCAAACAAAGCGTGAAGTAAGCGTATCGCTGGCTTATCGCAGGTGTACCGCAAACTCGTCATAAACGTACTGTAAACTTGTAGCTATACTCGGAATTTTAATTCGATTCCAGATTTGACAATTTCAGTGTTGCAACGTTATGACAAGTACTAAATAGTGACGTTGCGAAATTATTCGATATGGAAATGCAATATTTCTGGATCGATTCTTCTCGTTTATAATTTTACTCTCGTAAACTAAGGATATCAGGAAATTAAATATTTCTGACCGATAATTTAGTTTTGACGATTACTTAACGATCGGAGACTTTTCTTTTATAATTTTGTGTGAAATAAATAAAAAAATGTAATCATGAAGGAACATGACAAATAAAACAGATAGATGTATTATGGTAATAAGTTATTTTATAAATTGTCGCCGTCATCGCTATCGCTATCCTGTCACTTTCTGTAACATTTATTATAAAACACACACACTGATTGTTTATCGATTTTTGTGTCCATCACTACACTATTATATGTGGTATCATTATTTCACAAAATGACAGTAGCTATTGTCAAATCTGGAATCTAATTAAAATTCTGACTATAGCTTACCGCAGGCGTATCGTAGCGTAGAGTTGAGAGCAAAATGTACAATGGCTTGTTTAAAAAACTTCATGTCCGTTTTGTTTTTTGTTCTGCTATTCTCATCATATTATTATGATACGTTTTGTATGCGAATGACTTAATACTCGCTTCAGTAGCTTGGAAAATTGAAATTATTATCAAAATTTTATATCTTCGTATTCTTGTTTATATTGTCAGTAATAATTTTGTAAACTCGAAACAATAAAATTGGCTTTATGTGTTTAGCTCTCGCGTCGTATTAATTGTATTAATTATGTATTAATCGAACGTATCAACATATAATCATGGCAGTGGAAGTAGTTCAATTACGTAAAATCAAGGCTTTTCTTTAGCTTTACATTACCAAAATCTTTTCTATTAATGATCAAAATATACATTTAAAAGTAAATTAAATGTAGACAGAGATATAATTCATTCAGTGATATTTTCTAGTCTAGAGTAAAACCTAACCATTTCCCATCTTTGATGCATATCTTTGTAGTACTCATTAATTCAGTAGTTCTTTCTATAATATTTTTTCTAACTCTATTTATTACTCTTGCGTGTTCTTTACACTATTTTATCATAATACTTCTGTCATGCATACTCATTCATTGTCTAATATAAATTCATCTTAGAATATTTACAAAAGCTTACTTTATTTACTCAAAATGTAAATAAACTTGTCCAGAAAGCCATATTGTACTTATTTTATTATGATTTAGTTAATTAAAATTATTGTTCATATGATTATAGAAGCCACCTCCAGGAGCGGTGAAGGTGATGCCCACAGCCCCTCCAGACAAGAAGGATGAAAAGAAAGCCTTGGAGCAAAGGAAACCTGCTGAAAATGGTGAGCATATTTTATCTTATAATATTATATGTATAAAAAGTTGAAGAGTTTGTTTGAATGTGCTAATCTCAGGAACTACTGGTCGGATTTGAATTTATTTTTGTGTTCGATAGTCCATTTATTGAGGAAGGCTATTGGCTATAAAATATCGCGCTACGATGAATAGGAGTCGAGCAGAGCGGGTGAAACCGCGTGAATAGCTAGTATGTAATACTTATTCTTCAACTCTTGTATTGTACTTTAGTGTTGGAGATTAGAAAAGTGTACAGTTACTAAAAACTTTGCCAATGTTTGTAAACAACATTTTTGTGTAATTACTGTCTGGTCGTCAGTCTTTCAGGAATGTTGTATACACTTGGTTTCTCTCTCGATTTTTCTCAGAAACGTAAACAAACTGCCCGTCTAACATTAATCAAGCTAACGAAGTAACTATACGTGTGGTGTACTCGTTCCAGGTACAGACACGACCAGTGACCCAGGTATCACAAACAACGTCGACACTACTCCTAAGAAGTCCAAGGTGAGTGTTGTGTGTACAGCATTAATACCGCAATACTATCTCAATGTTCATACAAGCAAGAATGGTAGACTCAAAGCATTTTATCAAATCTGTGATGTCGACAATAGTAGATATTAGTGTATCATACAATTTCAATGTAAATATGAATGTTAGCCCAGCAATTAGATATGCATGCATGATGCATAATGCAATGTTTCCTATTTTATTCGCGGCTGTGTAAGGCAGTTGTCCAACGAGCACTGTTATACTTTTGTTAATTTTATTTTTTGTTTCACCCCTCCCCCTTTCCCCAAAGACCGGAGGATTCGGACTGTTCGGTGCTAGAAAGGATAAGTCGCCTAAAGAAGAGAAATCACCCAAAGATAAGTCTCCGAAAGAAAAATCACCCAAAACGAAAGATAAGGTTAAAGACCCGAAGATTAAAGTGGCCGCGCTTGATACGTCCAATGACAGTTCCAATCTCGATAGTTCACTTGACAAGAGCCCTTCGAAGGGCGACGAAAAACCTTCGTTCACCAAACCGTACGAATACACTGACACTGAGAAAAGCCCCACTCGCACCAAGCCGTTCATCCAAGGTGCGTTCAGTTACGAGAAGGAGCCCATATCTGATGAGAAGCAACGGGCTTTAGATGACAGCCAAAGCCCCACGACCAGAAAAGCTGGCCTTGCTTTCAACTACGCCCCTGGAGAAGATAAGAAAGTTGCTGAGAGCGCAGAGAAGCGCAAAACACCAGAGGATCCCAGCAAGCTTAAGACGCCAGGACTGGATTACGTGCAGTCGGCAGCTCTGAAGGAACAAGCTAAGAACTTAATAGATCCTACTTTAGCCTTACTCGACTCTGAAAGATCTCATCATGAAGCGCCTACGGCTTTACCAGTGGTTGCAGCTAAACCAGACAATGAAATCCAAGTAGTCATTATCACTGGTCGCTACAACCCTAAGTCGAAGAAACTCGATGATGCAAATGGCACCATTTTGGTCACCAAGGGAACATTGAATAAAGCAAATGGCAAAATTCAAACAGATAAAGAACTAATTAATACGAAATCTGGACAAGTCAGTTACACAGACCCTGCTACAGGCAAGCAAGAGGTCAAGAATGGACATGTTGACAAATCAGGACACATACTTTTCACCTCGGGGGTCATTGACCCTAAGACGGGCAAGATTGACCCAACGTTGGCTCAACAATATTGCTTTGTTGAAAAATCCGCAGACAAGGTTGGAGCCAAGCCAGGACGGGAAGTCGACTTAGTTGTTATCACTGGCAAATATGACGGTAAGAATAAGAAACTCGACGCGTCTCATGGACACGTAGACGTTTCCAGAGCAGTGGTTGGTCCAGACGGCAATGTTGCCTCAAATTACGGCGTCATTGACCCAAGAACAGGCAAGATTGATTATATCGATCCCAAATCTGGCAAAGAAGAACCTAAACAAGCTTACGTTGATCAGAAAACTGGAAACATTTTAGTTACAACAGCTGTTGTAGATCCTAAATCTGGCAAGGTCGACTCCTCGCTTGGTCAGCAGTTCAGCATAGTAGAAAAGGATGCGACCAAAGCAAACCGTGAAGTCAGACTAGTAGTTGTTACTAGTAAATACGATCTTAAGACAAAGAAATTAGAACCAACATTCGCTCACGTAGACTCTGTCAAGGGAGTTCTGAGTGGGACAGATGGTAAAATCTACACAGAATACGGTACCATCGATCCAAGAACTGGAGAAATCCATGTCACTGATCCTAAGACTGGCAAACAGGAGACCAAACATGCAACAGTCGATCCCAAGACTGGAAATATTCTGTTATTGTCCGGAGTTGTAGACCCGAGAACTGGTCAGTTAGACACTTCGCTAGGACAACAGTATAGCATTGTCGACAAACCTATCGATACTTTTGCTAATTGCTCTGGGAAAGAAGTGCAGGTTGTTGCCATCACAGGCAAATATGATTCCAAGGGTAAGAAGTTAGATAATCCTAATGGATTCATAGAAACTTCTCGCGCTATCATTAGTGACAAAGATGGTAAAGTCCACTCGAACTTTGGAGTACTGGATCCCAATAACGGCAAAGTTTACTTTACTGACCCTAAAACAGGTAAGCGTGATTCTAAACAAGCCACAGTTGATCCTAAGACTGGAAGCTTCATACTTACATCTGGGGTCATTGATCCTAAGACCGGCAAGACTGATTCATCCCTGGGACAACAATTGACAGTGGTCGATAGGGACGCTCCTAAAGGCATTCCTGAAAGATATGCCAACTTGGTAATCGTCACATCTAAGTATGATCCTAAACACAAGAAATTGGACATTACCAATGCGCATGTCGACAGCTTCCCAGGTAAATACGACAATGATGACAAAGTCCACACTGACTTCGGTGTAGTTGATCCGGCTACCGGTGAAATAATTATTACTGACCCCGTCACAGGCAAACAGGAAGTAAAGAAGGCTGCCGTTGATCCTAAGACTGGCAATTTACTTCTCACATCAGGTGTTGTTGATCCTCAGACTGGCAAAGTTGACCCCACATTGGGACAACAGATCACAGTTGTAGACAAGCCCAAGGACACGTTCCCATCAGTGGCTGGAAAGGAAGTACAACTTGTAGTGATTACCAGCAAATATGACTCGAAATACAAGAAGTTGGACAATCCTAACGGACATATTGAGACGTCGCGTGGTGTCGTTGCTGCTGACGGCAAAGTTCACTCCAACTTCGGAGTGATTGACCCCAAATCCGGCAAGATGGAATATGTCGACCCTAAAACTGGCAAGCAGGAGCTCAAACAGGCTGTTGCTGATCCTAAGACTGGTCATTTGATCGTTTCTTCTGGAGTTGTAGATCCAAAGACAGGAAAAGTTGACTCTTCCTTAGCGCAGCAGTTCGCCATCGTTGATAGAGATAGAGTGGCACCTGAACGATATGTCAACCTCGTCATTGTCACATCTAAATACGACCCTAAGAACAAGAAACTAGACCTCGCTAATGCGCATGTCGATAGCGTACCTGGCAAGGTGGGTTCAGATGACAAAGTGCATACAGCATTTGGTATTGTTGACCCGAGCACTGGTGACATCGTAGTAACTGACCCTGTTACAGGCAAGCAGGAGGTCAAGAAAGCTACAGTCGATCCCAAAACAGGCAACCTTCTACTTACGTCATCAGTGGTTGATCCTGTGTCAGGACATGTTGATCCTACGCTAGGACAACAGATCAGCGTTGTAGACAAACCTAAAGACAGCTTTGCTGCTGTACCTGGTAAAGAAGTACAGCTAGTTGTGATCACCAGCAAATACGATCCCAAGGCTAAGAAACTCGACAATCCCAATGGCCATGTCGAGACATCTAGAGGTATCATGGCCGCTGATGGAAGAGTACATACCAATTTCGGTGTCATTGACCCGAAGACTGGAAAGATTGAACATGTTGATCCTAAGACCGGTAAACAAGAGATTAAACAAGCGATCTCTGATCCACAATCAGGACATTTGATACTAGCTTCAGGAGTAGTTGACCCTAAAACAGGAAAGACCGACTCGAGCCTTGCCCAGCAGTTCTCAATTGTAGACAAAGATGCACCTAAAGAAAGATACGTTAACCTGGTTATTGTGACAACTAAATACGATCCTAAGAGTAAGAAGCTAGACCTCATCAACGCTCATGTAGACTCAGTACCCGGAAAGATCGGTGCTGATGGCAAAGTTCATACCGAATTCGGTGAAGTAGACCCAACTACTGGCGACATTATCGTTAAAGATCCAGTCACTGGAAAACGTGAGACTAAAGTGGCTACCATTGATCCCAAGACTGGTAATCTCCTCCTGACTTCCGGTGTAGTTGACCCTCAAACCGGGCAAGTTGATCCAAACTTAGGACAACAAATAAGCGTTGTTGACAAACCTAAAGACACCTTCACACCAGTTCCTGGCAGAGAAGTTCAGCTGGTCATCATTACTTCAAAATATGATCTTAAGAACAAAAAGCTTGACAACCCGAACGGTCACATTGAGACGTCACGAGGTATTGTTGCCGCTGATGGCAGAATTCACACCAACTATGGCATAATTGATCCGAAGACAGGAAAGATTGAACATGTTGATCCTAAAACAGGCAAACATGAGACGAAACAAGCCGTGGCTGATCCTGGCGTAGGTTTCAAATCAGGTAATCTTCTTATAACCTCTGGTGTCGTAGACCCGAAGACCGGAAAACCAGACTCATCGCTCGCTCAACAATTTACGATTGTCGAGAAAGAGACGAAACCTGTCGAAAGAGAGATTCATCTTGTCATTATTACCACGAAATACGACCCGAGGACTAAGAAGATTGATCCTAGCCAAGGTCATGTTGACACTATCAGTGGTGTACTTGGAGCTGATGGAAGGATCCGAACAGCTGTTGGTATCATCGACCCTGCGACTGGAGAGATCGTCGTTACTGACCCTAAGACCGGCAGACAAGAAGTCAAACGTGCTCAGGTACATCCTGAAACTGGACATATGGTTATTTCAAGCAATGTAGTCGATCCCCAAACTGGAAGGGTTGATCCCACATTGGTGCAACAATACAGCATTGTCAACAAACCAGTCGTACCCTTCACGAAACCAACTTCAAAGGGTGAGGTGCGTCTGGTAATCATTACCAGTAAATACGATCCTTACACTAAGTCAGTGGACGCTAATGCAGGAAACATCGAAGCTGCTAAAGGTTATGTTAGCGCTGAAGACGGCAAGATTCACACAGACTTTGGTATTATTGACCCAAGATCTGGTCAAATCCTCTACAAAGACCCGATAACCGGCAAACAAGAGCTAAAACAAGCTGAAATCGATCCTAAGACAGGAAACCTGATAATAACTACCGCCGTAGTTGACCCCAAGACTGGCAAAGTAGAACCCTCATACGCGCAGCAGTTGAGTATTGTTGATAAGCAGAATGTGTTGTCTAAAGTAGCGCCAGTGTCACAGAGAGCAAGCGTGTCCCCTGCCAGGCAGGTCCCATCGCCTGTAAAGACCCCGGCCCCCACACCAGTACAGACACCACTGCAATCTCCCGTCCGTACATCATCACCCATTACCAGCTACGCTCAAAAATCATCACCACTCACACCGACAGTTAAATCACCAGTAAAACCGACTTCAGCACCTCCAGAACCACCTAAGAGGAAGATTGTTAAGATCATGGTTGTCTTTACTAAACTCGATCCTAAGACTAAGAAGCCTGATCTTCATACCGCTGAAGTGGAACATCTCACTGGCATTCTTGACCCCAATGGATTGATTGAAACTAAGTACGGTGTAATTGATTCCAATACTGGAAACATAGTTATTACTGATCCTGCTGGTCAGAAGCAGACCCGCGAAGGCTACGTATTGACTGAAACTGGACAAATCTTTATAAACTCGGGTGCGATTGATCCCAAAACAGGCAAAATTGATCCTAATTTAGGCATGATCCTCAGTGTTGCTAAACAAGAAGATCCAGTAGTCGAAATCACAACAATTACTGGTCCCATTGACCCTAAAACAGGTAAAGTAGACATTGAGAAGGGCACAGTGGAACACACTAAAGGTAAAGTTGACGCTGAAACTGGTCACATTTCCACGAAATACGGTGTCGTCGATCCCTCAAATGGAGTCATATTTGTTACAAATACCTCTGACGCCAAGGCTGTCCACATTGATGAGAATAATGGCCTCATTACTATCAAAGGTGTCGTAGACCCGAAGACAGGCAGACCGGATCCTAACCTAGGACAGGTTATTGTTGTCGGAACTCACATCGACCCAGTGGTTGAAGTGACCACATTTGTTGGAAAACTTGATACCAAGAAGGGACTCATCGAACCCAAACATTCACTAGTAGAAAGCAGCACCGGTCAAATCAACCCTGACAATAACAAAATTGATACCAAATTCGGACAAATCGATCTTGTCAAGGGAACTGTTACGTACAATGATCCCAAAACAGGCAAGTTTGAAAGTAGGGAGCTCAAGGTTGACCCCGTTACTGGTCAGTTCTTACTGAAGACTGGACAGATCAATCCTAAATCTGGAAAGCCGGATAAGGACGTCGCTAGAATGATTTGCTTGAGAATCATTAAGAACAAGATTGATCCCGTATCTGGCAAACAAATTGTATCAAACGATCCCAAGAACGTTAAAGTTGATCCTAAGACCAACCAGATTTGGATCGCTGGACCTAAAGACCCAGTGTCCGGTGAAGTCATTTACACAGCTGGTCAGGTCGACCCTGTCACCGGTTACATCATCTCAATTTACGGTCGTCTCGACCCCAAGACTGGTACTATCGTCAGAACACATGATGTCGACAAGTCACTCATTAAAGTTGACCCCGTCAATGGACAAATCTACACCGCAACTGGAGAAGTTGATGAAAACAACCAACCTCTATACTCTGCGTCACAAGTCGATCCCAGCACTGGTGAGATTTACACCAAACTTGGCAAAATCGATCCTCAGACGGGCAGGCTGATCATCATTAAGATCTATATCATCACACAGAAAGACGACAAAGGAAGAGTCAAGGAAGTCGATCCCAAGGAATGCACCATCGATGAAACAACTGGCAGAATCATCACGACGAAAACAGTGTATTTGTACCAGATCATTGATCCCATCACCGGAGAAACTATCGACGTCGACCCAGACGACCCGAGGTTGAAAGGCGCGCGCACAACTGTCACACAAACTATGACGTTATCAGGCAAGATTGACCCTGTCACAGGCAGGATTAAAACGGAATACGGAGATATCGATCCCGACACAGGCGACATAGACCCCAGCACGGCTGTCAGAGACCCGGTCACCGGACAACTCATTCTCCACTACTCACAAATAGATCCCTCGCACTTCGAAGACAAGAGTGGAAACTACACGATAGAGAAAGAAACACAAGACTTGCCGGCCAACATCGACATACAGACGGTGAACACGCATAAGTTCTCTACCTTCGGCAAGGACGAGAGTCCGCTGAGAGGAGACGAACCTAAGACGTTCACCGAGTACACGACGAGCGAGCACATACGGCACCAGGGCTACGTGTCGTCATCCACTCCTATATCCTCCAAGATCCCGGTTTCACAGCGCTCTAAGAAGACGCCGACCCCTCCCGTCGTGGTGAAGACCACCACCAAACAGCTCCTGACGAAAAATGACGAGGGCGTCACACACAATGTGGAACAGGAGGTCGAGAACCTCGGCACCGGCGAGGTCACCTTCTCCACACATACCAACAAGGTGCGTTTCATTCTCATTCTCAATTTCCAATAACCGGCACTCAAGACGCCACCCTGATTTATTTTTCATGTCGTTTTCTTTTTTTTAATTATTTTGTACAGCGTGTGGCCTAATTTTTTTTTCTTATCGTTTTCCCAATTCACGGCTTACGTAGTATCAATGTTAGATTTTTGTGTATATAGTAAATGCATGCTAGTCTAACCCTAACTAGGCGGAAAGCCTTGAGCCGATGGAGGGTCCCGGCAAGAGTCCATACGTGACGGCGCGCGCGGTGACCACGCGGACCGCCACTACTCACCACGATCTAGATACCAAGGCCAAGACGCAGCAGATGGAGGAGAAGACAGTGGCGCACACACTCACTTCGTCCGCCACCAGGCAGGAGCAGCGCGTGGTCACGCAGGAGGTCAAAACCATGGTGACTACTGGCGACCAGGTACGATCATGACATTATTACTTGGGAAGGCATTCTCATTGTTTTAATAATTCAATCATTAGCATGTTAATGGAGTTTTGTTTCATGATTAGTTTGAGTTTTGTTTCTATTATGATTTCTCCACTTAATTTTTCATTTGATGTTTTTTTTGAATTCGCTTTACTATGGCAGCCTTTTTGACACGCGAAAGTGCTGTTGTTTTAAACCGCATGAAACCGGCGACGCTTTGACAGCGCTTAGCAATGCTTCGAAAACAAAAAAAAATCACGCGTGCGTGGAAGCATGTTGTTATCGCCGCTTGGCACCAAGTAGGCGAAAATCGAGTTAAAAATTAAGATATTGAAAAGAAAAACAACAAATATTAATAAGTATATTGTTAAAAAGCTGTCATCATATTTTGATTGCATGTTGAACTTCGTTCTAATTACATTTTTTTCTTTTCCCCCCATCCCATATCCACATCGAACGGACATGACCTGGTAATGCATCTAAACAAACTCTAAACCGGCATGACATTACTAAACTATTCAATTCACACACTATGTGGTAACCCCACTGACTCCAACTGGAAATATAACACGAACGAAATGTGATAACTTCGCCAACATTTGGCAAACACCATTCTGTGGTAATTCACCAACATTTGGTTTACACAATCATGTAATAACTCACTGGCCAATGTATGGCCAATATCATCAACGTCACGATTGTTGGCGGTCATCGAGCAGCTAACTAGACGCGGGTCAGAGTCCTCGGTGAGCAGTGGTGACTCGGGCACTCCCATCGACTTTGACGAAGGAGCTGGTGAAGGACATTACTACGTCACGGTGAGTGTCAAGCGCTGACAGCAATTCTGTCGAAGTTATAACTACGCTGAAGCGCTTTATTGTCACTTGTCTACAAGTCGTACAAGTACTTAAAAAGATGGTATTTTAATATTTTACTGGGTGATCTAAAAATGAATAAATATGAGTTGTAACAGATCTATATTTTTAAAATTGGCAATTAATTAGAAATTACAGCAACACGCAGTGTTTTGGGAGTGGGCACTATACAAATTGTTCTTACATGTCAAATTATATACTGCACTGTACTATGTATTTACTATTGAAATGTATTAACTAACTTGTTATATATTTATATACTTTCAGGGTAGAGTAGACGGTAGTCGTGTGTGTTGTGTTCATAGAACATTTTAAAATTTTTGATCCCTTCTAAAAAGATATTTGTCCCAAAATATGAATGTTTAGCATGAGTGTGTGTGCATGTTGCATTATGTACTGTTATGTGACTGTCTGTTGCATTTTTTATATATATTTTTTTATTATTACACACAAGGTATAGTACAGGTTTTTTTAATATATTATTTATTTTCCAAACATTATTTCTATTTTTATTTATTGTTATTTTATATATTTTGTAATGTATTATAAATTCCTCTGTTATTTTAAAATAAAAATGAGAATATAAATCTGATGTACAATGTCCGTTTTCACCAAGTTGTAAATTTTAGGGAACCCTTACCATAAGTGTCATTTAACGTCATTTTGATTATCATCAGCCTATAAGTAAAACCTCGTAACTTTTAATATTAAGAGATGATGTAGAGGAAGTTGGTGAAGATGGCCATACGATCAAGTCTGATGATACCTACGTTTATGTAATTGATATGTACATAATATTATATGATATAATTCTGTAAATAATATAAAGTGGCGTATGTATATAATCGTGTATGGTGGTACAGGAGCCGGGCTCGTACAAGACGACGACAACGAGCACGGTGATGGGGAACGCGCCATTCGGCAGCATGGTGCACGGTGCTACCACTAGGGTGAGTTCACATTACTGCTTCATTTTATTGTTATTAATAATGACTACTAGCTTGTACCTGCGTGAATTTGATATTAAAGGTTCTGTATGTCCTTTTTTGTACTCCCAGATTGTAAGTATATACGTATATTTCAAGAAGATTGGTTATATGAAGAGGTAACTTAAGCCAATTTACTTTTGCATTAATAATATCCTTTTCTATAATAACTATCGTGAGACATAATAAGTTAACTAAAAATCGCGGGTTACTCACGTGAATAGTTTCGAACCACAGAAGGGTTCTTCCTCATGAGCAGCGGTCGCGGCGATGTTGCGCAGCCTACTGGATAGGCATCGTTGGCGCTCGCATCGCATTTTTAGTTACTTTAATAATATCTGTCATTTACCACTGTTTATTGCTTCGCATTAGTCATGCTTAAGTCAAACCTTTTGGAGCTCAAAGACTGTTATGTGCAATTCAGAAACGAGGGACTTACAATTAATATTTCAAAGTCAAACTATTCATTTCAGTATTAAATATTCACATAAACGACAATTTTTAAACGTCACAGTACGACAGTCTGTCCGTCAGTGACGCTGAACTTAACTACATATTAGCCAATTAAAAACTGTTTCCAATTATTTTAATGAACAATGTGCCAACTACAGTACATCATATTTAATATTCTATCTAATACAAAATAAATACAATATCATTTGAATTACCTACAGATGAGTATCGGTCCAATAAATAGCAACCAAGATTCTATCTAACACATCCTAAAGCTGAATATTCCTTGTCACCAGACGAGTACGGGTCCTGTAGTGACGGAGCCGGTGGAGGTGACGGAGACGGAGGAGGTGCTGGCGGACGGAGAGGTTGTCTCCTCGCAGACCATCAGCTCCAAGACGCGCACCGTCGAGACCATCACCGTATGTACACCAGTTTATTTATCTATGATGAATTTAATCTCTTATGGGTTTCTTACTTTGCAATTAGATTGACTTGGTAATCGAATGGTCGCAAGACTTCCAAGTGTCTGCTGGGCGAGCACAGGTCTTTGTTTCGATTACCTGGACTGGCACAATATTTGTGAGTTTTTATTATTTTTTTAAATAATAGCACGAAATCTGGAACTGTGCCCGGTGTCTCCCTGTTCAGTGGAACTCATAATCTAGCGGTTGAAACTATTTGCAACAAATGTACAATTGTGAACTTGAATTAATCAATGAAAAAGTTTATTCGGCATAAGAAATGCACGCTAGAAAAAAAAACTTATACATTATTACACATAACAATAAAAAGGTTTATAAACAGACATATATCTAAAGAAAAAAAAGATAATAAGTAAATTATAAAACTAAAACACGCCAACTTAATGCCTAAGGGTGTTACATTTCATTTATGGACCTCAGTCTGCTACGGGACTAATAGTAATTATAGTTGTCAAACCCGCTACTCCAATGACAGTTGTATAACACGCTACGTAACATATTGCAGTACAAGACGGAGCGTAACGGAGTGATCGAGACGCGCGTGGAACAGAAGATCACCATCCAGTCGGACGGGGACCCCATCGACCACGACCGAGCACTCGCAGAGGCTATACAGGTAATATATGAATATGATGCACAGATTATACAGCCTTATTTTATAGGTGTCAAGTTCTTTTGTAGATGGATTAAAGAAACAATTTTTTTAATGAATGACCTGTGTGCTTACTCTTAAAACCAATCTCAAATGTCAATGCAATTTTAATCCAATAAAATCTCAATAATGATTCAATGTCAAAACTATACAGCCCCTATCGTAGCTGTTAAAATAGCATTTAGAGTACGGAATATAAAGCCAAACTCAATACCATTTAGTTCATTCAATATCCAAGCAATACGAATGCAATGGGCGCTAGTGTTGTAACTCAAGAGTACAAAATTTCACAATACCAATGTCGATCGATCGGAATTGGATTCAAGAGTAAGCCACCTGGACTGAAGTCTCATCGCAACCTTGAAGTGAAAACAAGTGAAAACTTTGGAGAACATTTATGTCATCACTAGATGGCGCTATTGTAATTTAGCGTCCCGTTAATTACTGTATCTATCATTTATACTCTATTGCACGTGTGTTGTTCTGAAACCATATTAAAACAAAATTGTCTTGTATTATTTCCAGGAGGCCACAGCGATGAACCCAGACATGACAGTCGAAAAGATCGAGATCCAGCAACAGAGCACGCAACCCTAAGCTATAGCAACACGTTGCAACGTCCACCTCGTGACCCGGGCCTCGGACCCGGCCTGTATGTATATCTAGGTACATACCCTAGTTGTAAGCGATAACAATGCGAATATTAATCACTAAGTTATTTAAATACAAACATTTATATTGATTAATTAATAAACTGTTAATTATATTTAATATTTGATGTTGTCACGTCGTGCACTTTACGATTTTTGGGCGAAGGGAGGGTCTACAGTAGTAGGACATTGTGTCGATATACATTATTGTGTATAGGAATGTTTATGTATCGATATGTCAATATATCGAGTTTGTTACATCACAATGGCCTCAATAAAGTTGCTACAATTTCCAGAATGAACAAGTTAATCTTGTCACGTATACGGTATTCGACGACCGGCCGGTTCGCCCTCGCCCTGGAAAATGCAATTTTATATTGTAAAATATTATCGATAAGTATTGCAGCATTTTTCTTTTTTATTATTAAGCTTAGGCTAAGGCATCCATAAAATCCGGACGGCATAGGGCTTCGTAGAGATATAAATGTTGCCATAGTAAAAAAATATAAAAATGTTTTGTATTACTATATGAAAAAATCATTTAATGCCTTGTGTTTGACAAATCTGGCTGGATATTTCGGAATACGTGTGTAAGCGCATTGCTCAAATCATTTGTCTATTTAGCTTCGATATAGTTGGATGAACAACTATCACTGCCAATGAAAGCTGTTGTAATCGTGAATTGTATACTTCTCGTAGATTTTCTAAATTACAATCATGCTAGACTTAGCCTTAAACATTTAAATCACAATACAAAAATGTAATTATATGAACATCTTCTCGCATCCAGCCAGGTTACGACACGAGCTAGTTTTCTATAACGGAATAGCTTTAAAATATTGTCACACGAGTTAGACCACCGTATTTAGATATGTAAAATACAAATTTATTAATTTTCTCCTCCCTTCTATTGGAAGTGTCGGTATACAATGTAGTGCGGGACTAATTGGTTATCTATCGATACTCTTGTCACGGTTTACCGATACATCGATATCGATAAACTGTCGCAACACTATCGGGAACTACAAAAGTATATGTTATTAAAAAAAAAGATATATTATTGACGTGTTGCTATGGACTATATTATATCTACGCGCTCGCTGTACTACGCACGTAGTAGATACTGTTATTATTATGAAGAAAATATCTTATGAAAGGCTTTTACGGCTTATTTATAGTCATCAAGTGATATAGCGAATTTGTGTCGTGTGTGATTGCAATACAGATTTAAGATCTATATACGTGGCTAGGCGCGTAGTGCAGCGAGCGATATATTTCACCATTAGGTGCTACTACTTAGGGTCTAGTGTTTACGTACATTTGTATGTGCCCGGCGGCGGGCCTCCATTTTATATTTAATATTAGTTTGGCAGCTTTGGCTTGACGGACGGGAGGCACACTGACACCTAACTACGTAAATATTATAATATATAACACAGATATAATGTTTGTTTTTTTCGTTATCTTGTAAAGATTGAGATGTGTGCCAGTGCGTCTCCCGGGAATGTAAACTAAGCTTAGTCGGTCAATGTTAGAGATTAGGGCCAGGCGAGCATTTGTTGCATTCGACAGTTCAGTGGAGTAACGAGGGACATTCCATAGTTCACAAACTTATATCTAGGAGTAAACGCTACATCATGACACAGAGTGTTTGTTTCTTATTATTTTTGTCTTAAGATTATTTCTATACGGTCGCGGCGCACTTTACGAGCTCACAACAATATGATACACATGTATGAATATACTGAAACATCTGATTAAGCAATTATGACACCTAAGTCTTTGTTATGTACAGTTGAAATAGTTTGGCATCGCACAAAACTTATTCTTACAGAGCTCGCCAAGTGCACGCGACCGCACTAAATAAGTTGGAATGATACTGATATTGTACAATTTATTATTATTATTATACTATAATATTAATATATTTCATACACGCTAGACGTAAACATTATTTTATATTAGAGTTAAGTTTTAAACACTGATTTAAAATCAGATTTTATGTATCGTGATAACAATTTGTTTTATTTACTTGAATTACTATAACACATGTGTCCGTGTTCATACGGTGGTAAGTTTCAAGTAAATATAACACTTGGTTATTATTTTTTTTATAAATTTGACATTTTATTGTATTTAGTTCACGGATGCTGTCAAATGATGGATTAAATGAAATTATTGAGTAACTAATGTTTGTCTATTACCTGTCTGATTCACGTTGGTATTGCGAGTGGAGCGCCGGGAATTAATGTTGATAGAGTTAAGAAGATGAGGGTTTCATACAAATTGTTTTATCGATATTTGTTTCTTGTCCTGCACTTGATATTCTTCTTGTGTTAATTTATGGCTCTGATCGTGGCTGATGTTTTGAGACAGGCATTTTTTATACATTTCCTCATAAATTGTTTTGTAATTGCATACATGTTAAAATAGTATCTGAATATCACATTGTGTCAGTAATTAACGGTCCTAATACTTTCAATAATTCGTTTTCTTTAGTTTGTTTGTCTGTCTCATAACAATGGCGGCGTATTGAGGTTATATTATATTTATTGTAGATGTTTATTTTTGTATCGAGTGGCCCTGCTCCGTAAGCGGTATCGAGGAGAGTTAGGTATTACAAATAAACAATGCTTTGTTTTATATACGACTTTTTATTTTATACCCTACTAGCGACCCGCCCTATAAATATAAACCTTCCTTAAGAATACTCTATTAAAGAAAACCGTATCAAAATCCGTTGCGTTGTTTTAAAGATCTAAGCATACATAGGGACAGACAGACGGCGGATAGCGACTTTGTTTTATAATATGTAGTGATTTTGGAGTTTCAGGATGTGGGTAATAAGTTCATCTCTTTGATTTTATTTTAATGAATCTGTTAGGTTGGTAAATTATCTATTTTAGTTTCTGTCTACAATACGATATCTATGTATGTAGACTGTTCTAATCCGGTTTAAAAATCTCTTGCTTATTCCATTTTTGACGGCACCGTTGCAGTGGCTGGACAACCGGCTGCTGCGCAACGTGTCAAGGGTTCGATTCCCGGACATATTTTTTAAAGACAAAGATTTTTGCAAATTGTACCTTAAGCCTTAAAGTTAGCCAATAAGATGTTGTTCAATGATAAATTACTTTTAATCACTTGTCCAACATAAAAAAAAAATACTATAAATACTACTCGAGTTAAAAAAAGTTCTTTAAACTAATTAATTTTACCCGAAACAAGCATTTCAAGCATGTTAAATGACGTAAATACACGTCATTCATATATTTGTATTATAGGAACCCAGATCGAACTAAGCACTCTAAATATCGTTTTAACTATACAATGATCAAATGAACCAAATGAAAGGTTATGACTTTTACTATGACAATGTCGATTTGTCCAATTACGATTGCAAGTACCCTACTTGTACTACTTGCTACGAATGGCTACAATTCAAAATAAATAAAAGGTACTAATTAATGTTCAGTGATCAGACCTTAGTTCAAAATTGAAATGTTTTTTTATAGAATAATGTTATTTTCTGTGATAATTAAGTACATTTTTGTTATCATTTTGTGTTTTCGGATCAATTAAGTTACAGATTTCTTGCTTACCAAATGTGAAAAGGCCAGTACCTTCATTACATTTTTTGATGATTATTTTATTAGGTCGACCTGTATGGGATATAATCTAACAATCTATACATATTACACGCACTTTATAATTCTTGTATCATCATTAAACTTGGCAATTATATGTAGATTATAATAGATGATCATACAATATTATGGTACCATGCATTAAGTTGATCTGATGATGAAATTGAAAGGAATCATCATCAACAGCCTATAAGTGGCCACTGCTGACCAGATGCCTCTTCTCGTACCGATAATTGAGCATTAATCTCCACGCTCAATGCGGTTTGGCGTTTTCAACAATGAACAAACTGACCGTATAGAGCGCCATCTTGATTTTATATCCTGCAATAACTTCTTGTCTATCGATATATGAGACAATTGAAAACACATTGTGTCTTGAGGTTAAACCACATCAAATTCAGTTACTTATTATTTTTTAAATTTAAGCGTACTAGGAACATGCAGCTGCATGCAGTGTTGTTCCGTGCGGGAATCGAACCCGCGACACGTTGCACGGCAGGCGGTTGCCCAGCCACCGCGCCAACCGTGCAGTCAAACTTTGTTTTAAACATGTAGATAACGATTATTTTGAGTCGGTACTTGAGGTCTTTATGTTCATTATAAATATGATAATTATTGAAGTCACAAGGCATCTAATCAAGGTTGTCCTTACATTCACTTCAAACGTCAAGGAAGTCAATTAAAATCTGATTGAATTTTGATTAGTGACCTCTGAATTGTTACCATTGCCGTTTATTATGGGATAAGTCTGTAAACGAGCAGACGGATCACCTGATGGTTAGCAATCGGCTTCGCCCATGGACACCTAAAAGACTAGAGGCGTTACAAGTGCGTTACCGACCTATTGGGGGTTTGTAATTTGAGGATTGTTGGGGACTCGAGGATTGGAGAGATTGGAGATTGAGAGATTTTTATACAACCCCAGAACACAAAATAGGACCATAATGTGAATCCCCTGGAATCAAAACCACGAAACCTTGTATAACAGTCGGTCTCGCAGGAAATGAACCAAATGTCCAAGCATTTCAAAATATTTCTTTTTTGGTGATTCGTTATTCTATTCTGGTGTTGCGGTTGCAGACTATGGGTGGCTCTGATCATAATAAATTTTACTTTTTAAGGTGCACGCTATACTCTATAGGAACCTACTTGAAGGTTTAATTCACTTCGGAAGTTGGTCGATTAATATCACTGAGGTTCTGCCTTTGAATTGTTTCTTAATTATTCTAATAATGACTTACAAATAACAAGTTTGATAGGTACTTGGAAATTACGTGTTTATTCATAATCCCGGGCGCCGATATAAAAAAATGAACCGGCTCTTCTAGTTACTTTATAATACAACATAATAGTATTAATTATTATTATAAAATATACCTAACAAACAAGTTTTCTCAACTAATTTACTATTGAGGCCTTAGTAAATCTAAAATAATATTAAAGCAGATTATAATATATTTATGTATATGCTATGAGATTAGAGTTATTAAACTCTTGTATTTTCATTTCTAATTCCGTGTTTGTCTTTATAAACTTTGCAACAAGTAATGTGAACTAATCTCAATTGTTTAAGTTTGTAGAAACAGTGTAGGTAATTGCTATCGGTGGAGCTATAAAAATAATACCTAAGTAGGAAACTCCTACTTACGATCATTTTCTTGGACAATTATTCTCTCAGTTGCGTAGATTTAGATAGGACATTTTACTGAAAGCGCCTGATTCTTCAGGACGTGTAAAGAAAAGTGTATCAGTGATAATTATTTGTATCAGATTTTCCTTCTTCGTTCAATTATGTATATTATATTCGTACGCCGGCGGGCTGTGTCCAGTTTGTGTGAGATCAGTGCGTGGTACAGTTGGATTAGAGTGCTATTAATGTGATTTCCTGGTGTCCTTAGTGTTGTGACTTTGTTAGACATTTGTGCACACTGCATCTACAGTATTAACCAAGATCGAAGATATAAACTAGGTACCTATTTAGTTACCAACTTTATCATTTCCTCTAATACTAATTTTATTTCCTTTAATAAAATTCAACCGTAAGGAGACCACTACTGAACAAAAGCCCTCTCTAGAAGGAAGGGTGTTTTTGCAATTAAGTACCTTCTAAATTAACTAAAATCGCGGGTTACTCACGTGAATATGCCGCGGAGAACCTAACGGGTTACCGGGGCTCCGGCTCAAAGTGCAGGAGAAGGAACGGGGTGGTTTATAGTCAGTAAGAGTCTGACACTCCCTCCCACCTCACCCAGGCGGGAGCAGTCATTCGATGATTTTCTCCCATTAAAAAAAACTCTCGTGAATATACTGAGAACAGCTCTACTAGTTTCGAAACACAGAGGGTTCTTCCTCATGAGTAGCAACTCAGCGCAAGTAGCAACACCGATGCGAGCGCCAACGCCAGCTAGTGAGTTGCGCGACATCGCCGCGACCGCGCACGCTTCTTATGAGGAAGAACCCCTCTGTGGTTCGAAACTAGTAGAGCTTTTCTCAGTATATTCACGTTAGTTACCCGCGATTTTAGTTAATCTAGTATGTCTTACGATAGATATTATAAAAAAGTACCTTCTATTTCCTAAGTGCACCAGGCTTGGGGAACGCTCTTAAATCAATAGTCAAAGTCAAAGCAATAATTTAAAATAATCCTTAATTAGGCACATTTGAAACGTCAACAATTGATTTATCCGTTCGTCTGTCTGTCAGTGAAGCTAGGTGCTAATAACATGCAGTAGTATGATATTTAGATCCACTTACTAGGTACGTATAGGTACCTACTCATTCATACTACCCACCATTTAATTATTAAAAAAGTCTATAAATAAAATTTAAAAATATTTTGTTATTCATTTTTAAGTCTTGTGGATCGAGTGTTTATAAATAACACTGCTAAATAAAGGGTTTCGGGTGTAATTTATGGGTCGGACTATTATTGGGTTTTTCGATCTCCGAAATTCCCATAGGGTCACCGCACTCAGCGGTACCTGGTATGGCAAATAAACACGGATATAGGTAGGTACCGCAACAGGTCAACCTGTTCTCTGTTCTTCCTAAGCTTTAATTAGATTAAAAAGATGTGCGCAATTAAATCGAAAATACATTGCAGATAAGGGTTTTTTTAAGGGAGGAAAATCATCGAATGACTGCTCCCGCCTGGGTGAGGCGGGAGGGAGTGTCAGACTCTTACTGACTAAAAACCACCCCGTTCTGTCTCCTGCACGTCGAGCCGGAGCCTCAGTTACCCGTTAGGTTCTCTGCAACTCCGAATCGGCATCGGCCCTATTGGGCCCCATCTGTGGTGGTCTGATGGCTCTTTGAGTACGCTTCACCGTAGGCTCGGGTGCAGATAACGATAGCTTGTGTCTATACAGACCTAATAAATAAGTTTTGTCTTTTCGTCCAGGTTTAAACGACATGTCTCGTCTACTCCTCATTGTAGCGATGTGGCTGACCACCGCGCATGCGGCGACGGTTGTACCTGTTACAATGCAGCCGCTTCTTGGTAAACTAAGGAAAGGGATTACGAACGACATCGCCACTATCGCAGAGCCCATTGAAAAGGCTCTGTTTGCTATAGGATTTAGTCAGTGTGAGTATATTCTAATATTCGTCAGAAATTGAAGGAGTTTTCATCGTTAGTTTTTACTTTTCACTATTTATGTTATGAGTCCCACGTTATAGGGAGTGAGCATTGTCTACCTATAATATAATACTCGTCGTAAAGTTGAGTAAAGATAGAGATCACGAAAGTTGTAGAGGTAACTCCTAGTTCGTCGAAGCGAGGGCGATAGAAGCTAAAAGCTTGTATGTGGTACGTGAGGATCGGAGTATGTAATTCTAATCCATTTATTCTGCCTCATTGACCAAGTGGTCGCAAGTGCGACTGCCGGGCAAGAGGAGTCAGGTTCGATTCTGGAGTCGGACAAAGTATTACTGAGTTTTTCTCAGTGGTAGTACGGAGTCTGGAACTGTGCCCGGTATATGGCAAAAGGCTCACCC